AGCAACCAAGGATTGTGCCTCTTAGCACTGAGAGCCCATATTCAGCCAGTTGCCACCATGATCTCTATGTCCCTTTAAGAGTAACCACTTTTCAAGATGTAGTCCCCATTCTGTATATGTGACCTTATGATTAAAGGCTGACATGTTTTGAATGCTTGGGGTTGCAATACTGAGACTTCTCCATGTAAAGATGAGCTACAAATAAAAAGAAAGAAAAGCATGTTTGGGTCTTCTTGCATCCTCATAGTATAGGAATGTGGCAAGAAAGGGTTGTGTATGCTTGGGTTTTAGGGTAATTTTTTCTTTCTTTTTTTTTTAAATTAGAAATAAAAGCTCTGACTTCCTGGTTTTTGCTGGGACGACTGGAGAGAATTAGTGGGAAATCCCAAGAGACTGAAATCTGAGCATCTGGGAAAAGGCATTTTAGTCAATGTCTAAACTTGGTTTTCTGTTAATAGCTATTTAATTTGAACTCCTTCCAAGCCCATGGGAAATGTTCACTATGAAAGTATCATTTCATCAAGGCCAGGGGAAGTTCCAGTTCCACTTCTCCAGAAAAAAACCCCCAACAACTTGATATTCTGAATACTGCTTAGTAATAAAGACACACTACAAGGCTGCCCTTCCCCATGACAGAACAGCAGCAAGGGGCACAAGCTTGTTTTCTATCCTAGTCTCATTTTAAAATGCAGCTATTTTTCTTCTTGATGCTCCCTGCTAGAATCTAGAAAAGGCCCTCTATGGTAATTTATCACATATGTTTATCTCTCTGGGCAGAGTAGTTGGGCTGGAGCTCCCTGTGCTCTTAGGTTCCTGTGTTGTGGTCTGATCAGCCACCAGCAGATTGCTCTGTGTCCATTTACAAATGCCTGCTTACGATGGCTAAGTCCAAGTTGCTCCCTGGAGATCTCTGCATTGCACTGGAACAGGCAGAGTCTGTCTGACCACCTTCCCAGAACTGGGGACACCATCACCAGCCATTGCTGCCCTCCCGCTCTCCGCCCCAACCTGTCAGCCCTGCAGCTCAGGACATCCAGGAAACACAGATTGAGCAGGCTCGGACATTAGCTTATCAGGCACTATACAGCTGCCATTTGTGTATTACATCCCAAGGCTTTGTAACAAAGAAGGCTTCAGAATTAGGAGGCAAATTTCATACACAGGGTCCCCCATCTTATCCCCCTTTGCCCTGACACAGCTGTTCGTATGCACCATCCTTCCTCAAGCATCATGGACAAGCTTCACCCTCTACCACGGCTGACAGGTAGGACCAACTCACTTCTCCAGGACTAAGGGTAGCAAGGAGGGTGCCTGACCCACACACATTTGAGGACAGATAGTATCTTTATGCACCCAGGTGGGGTTCCACCCATTGGCTGGAGTCGATAAGGGTGGAGCCACAACCTGAGCAAACAAGCAACTCATAGCTCAATACCTGTGACCCATCTTGTAAGGGTTGGAAACCTCATCAGCATCAGCCACAAAGGATCCGCTCCTTTGAGCAGCTAGAGTCTGAATAAAAACTCATCTTGCCAAGTTTCCATCCACTGCCTTTTTAATATATAAAAATAAAGTAGCAACCTTCACCAGACCTCCGGCTGCAGAGATTCGCGCTCGCTCGCAGCAGAGGGGGAGGCCCCTGGAATTTGCACTCCCAACCAAAGCAGCACTACACCTCATTGCAATTGGAGGAGGAGGTGAAGTCACTTTGTTTTTTTCCTCAGGACTTACATACACAAACATCTGCACACTCAGCAGTTAGTTCCTATGCCAGCCAGAATGGGCTCCTCACACCACATTAAATGCATTAGGACTGGAGACATTAGTGCAGCAGCATCTGGACTTCGGGCAATGAATGTCAAGCTCTTCAGGTCTCCCTACCTAAAGCTCATTTCAGTCTCATTGTTTCTGGCTCACCTCTAAATTCCCTTCTCATTATGTAGAGTATCTACACTGTGTATGTAACATCCACACTGCCCCAGAGCAGGAGGCATCCCCTGGTACCTGCAATACCTATATGCACAGCATTGATGCTCATGCGTAACTATTACATGCCCAAAAAAGAATTTATGCAGGCAAGTCAGCCTGATGTCTAACTCCACGAGCCATGCATGGAAATGCAAGTTTGGGGGCATAAAGACACTGGTGCAAAGTTAGAGACAAGTTTTGAAATGCTGGACCTGTGGCCACAACATGGGTCTCCTGCTGAGATAAACTGTCATACAAAAGAACTCTGAAGACCACTGCCCAAGTCACAACTCTGGGTGCAAGCTCAGTCCAGACGGGTACTGGCAATCACAAAGGTTTACTAACAGTTACTTTTAGAACTGTTTCAGATTCTAATCTTTATTCTTATAAGGCTTTACCTTCACCTCTGAAGACCAGATTCCTTATTGCTTCTGTTCTCATTTGCAGTGATGAAGGTATTAATAGGCTGCTGTACTTCTCTTTCTATGAAAAGCTATAGACACATGAAATGCTCACTTGTTGTATTATAGAGTGGCAACACCAAGCAGAAAAGTATCCTATTACCTGCAATTCATAAGTCTCAGAGCACATCCACTTGCAACCATGACATTCATATCTAAGCGTCTATAGCATTCCCCAGTGCTCTGACATTGCATCACAGACCTAGCCCCACTTACGAGTGAAAGTGGATTCTGCTCTAGATCAGACTCAGAGCTGCAGACCACTCTCACGCACCCTCTAAGAGTACTTTGAATTTGGCCATGTGGGGAGGAACTTGAAAGAAGCAGAGGAGTGCATAAGGGAGACCTGCTGTCAGCCTACCTGTGTGGCAGCTCGGTTTATTATTACCGAAGTGCACTGCAATAAGTCTGAGCTCAGCTGCCAGAGAGGAGCACAGCTCCTGCAGTTCTCCCCAGGCCTCACCCAGTTACATTATTTCAGTATAAGAGTAGGGTTACCATATTTAGTGCCTCCGAAAGGAGGACACTTTAAAGGGGTCCCAACCCCGCCCCCAGCCCCGCCCCTGCCCCCGCCCCCTCCCCAAAGTCTCCGCCCCCTCCCCTGCTTCCCGCGAACATTTGAGTCGCGGGAAGCCTGAAGCAGGTAAGGGGGGGTGTGGGGGGAGGAGGCGCGGCCCACCCCCGGCACCGCAGGTCCCCAGCCCGTCCCCGAGC